GGTCTCTCAAAACATTATTTCTTATTTCAAAAAGCTTTACATTCCTCTTCTAATATCAGTAAGTATTCAGTAAATATAGTATCTTCATGGTCCCTTTTCAGCAGAAAACTATGTATCTATATTCCACTTTTACTAATTCAGAGTACCTAGCCAATAGGGAGTAAATAATTATACTTGGAATCTATAAAGATGATGATATCACCAGCTTCACCCAAACAGATTTTGGTAATACATGCTACGTCTGCTCATTAATCCACTACCAAGTCAAGAATGAATATATTGCAGAGAAGCCCGGCATTTACCATAAGTAGCTTGAGGCAAAAGTCTGAATCACGACTGACGCAGTCAATCTGGCGATTGCGTTCAATACAAATTATGGCTTCCTGTCCTTTCCCTTTTCCTCTTTCCCTGCAATGTTTTGTCCAACTTTCCTGCTATATATTCCTTAATCCATCACTACTAGAATTTGCTCCTCTATTCCACTACAGGAGTACAAACTGAGCCTTCCAGCAAATTTACCAAGTCCTGGGTCAACCTGTCACCCTGTTTCAACATAATAATGCTAACCATATTTTCCTCAATCTCTTCTCCATTTCAGGCCTGGGGAAACTGGGAAACAACCAGTGGATCTTTCGAGAGGGATTGTTTTCCCTGCAACTACATCTCCTATTCTCCAGCTTGCTTTCTTCCATATGAATTCTTTCTTCTCAGTCCCTCAACATTCACCTCATACTTAGTATGAACCTCTTCATCACCACTGTTTAGTATATTCCCACATTCCTGCTAATTTGCTCTGTCAACTCTCTAACCCCAACAACAATCTAAGTTTATATTTTACAAAGCCATGCTGAAAAGGGAACAAACGGTTAATATATTCCAGAAATATATAGTTTTAAAAAGGAACAGAAAATATTAAAAGAACATAATATTAGTTAAAGATTGGTTACAAAAAGAGGGGGAGGGTATTAAAACTGGAACAGTCATTACATCTGAAACAAAAATAGTTTACAAAAGGAAATAAGTTTTACTTTTGCTAATTTAGCAGCAAAAATGTAGAAAGTTCTATCAAAATACTTAATATTTTATGAAATAGTGATAGTTTGACTAATTTAATATATAGCTTTTGGATAAAAGTTTTTAATATAGTTTAACATCCACAAACTTTCTACCGAAAATGAAATTAACTGCAAATGAGTAGAATAGTATCCATTATAAGGACTTCAATTCAAAACACACAGTAATTGGATTAAGAAATTATTTACACCATACATAATGAATTCACTTCCACAAGATCTAGTGATGATCACCAACTTGGATGACCTTAAAAAGTGATTAATTGAATTTGTGAATGGCTACTAGTCAAAATAGCTATAATTACATCCAATATCAGAGAAAATATTCTTATCATCAATTAATGAGAAATATGAATAATATGTTGCTCTCATAATGGGATTTTCATTAACATTTCTAAAGAATGATAAAAAGTATATTTTCAGTTATTATATAATAAGATAAAACATCTAAAATATTTGAAGCTTGTTAGAATACATAAGCACTTTTATGAGATCAATAATATATTTTATACCTTTTAATAATCATAATTTAACTTCTATAAATAAAATGGATATAGTAGCTCATTTTGAACAACCAAGTTATGATGCCTTTGCTAAAGATTTAGAAGTCATGACCTGAACTGTTAAATAAGTTGTTTTCTGTTTAGCAACAGATGTTTTCTGTTGCTACAGCTTTATAGATATAAAAAAATATAACTAACATTTTTGTAACAGCAAAGTATATCTCTATGAAGTCAGCTAATATTTTTAAGAGCAATTGATTTATTTATAAAAACAGCAAATCAAAATCTATTTGAATTGCAAAGGGAATGATGATTATACAAGTTTATATATATTATAATGGAAATAACTGGTATATGTTAACAGTTTCTGTTTATTTATATGTAATCAAGATTTACTTTCCTTAGAAAAATTGTTTTAAAAAGATGGCCATTTCTACAAGATAATAAAGCAGCATTTTTTAAAATCAAGAATGTTTGACAATGCCTTCTTACTCTTAATTTATTCCAACTACACAAAATTTTCTTGAGACATTTCACTATCAAAAACCTACATTTAATTTTGTGCAAAGTGGTTTTCACAGAAGGCTGATTTAGCTTGTAAATAATCCACCATTTTACAAAACTAGGCTATATTGTCATTAATTTACATTTTGTCAAAACTTTAGAACATGTGGGTTAAGGTAATGAAAAACTCCATTTTTAAAAGTATTTTCTGTTTTCAAAATAAATAAATCTGTACTAAAATCAGATATTGTAGAGTAATTGACAACTATAACTATGGACAAAGTCAGTTATTTGGTAATATTTAGTGAAAATAAGAAGCTGAATAGGAAAAAAAAGGAAAAGGCACCTTTACTATCTGTTTTCTTTCTATTATAAACAATTTCCAGAATTGTTAGCTTTACAAGGTTACTACCTAATGCCATGAACACATAAAATACCTCTGCATATGGGGCCAAGGAAGGCAGGTTGAAGTCTCCCAGGTTACAGGTACTCAGAAACATTGAGTGCCACCTGGTGGTATGTTTTATCTATGATGGTGCTCAGAAATACTCTTCTTTCTAAAATTCAGCTGAATGAATTTCAGCACAGAAAGGGATGAATGGGTATATAATTCTTTCTCCAAGGAATTTTGCCACCTGTGGTACTTTCTAGTATAAAACAGATTTATTCTCATAAGCGTTTTAAATAAATATATGTTTGGAACAGTTGAAGGAAATCTATATTTAAAACATTGTAATTGATTCATCCATCCTGCTGTCTCAATTATTTCGAAGCTTTGATGAATTTTAAAAAGTGCTTTTTAGAGCTATGTTCTGTAGTGTTTTATTTAAAGCATTTTATTATATTTTATTTTGTGTTTGTTTATGAGTCACTATAATAATGAATATTGCCACCCAGTGCAAATGGCTGGAAAGTTTAAAAATCCTATAGGAATTCGCCATATCTATGTAGAATTAATATTTTGTATTGGATCGGGAAGCAGCTAATCCAAAAAATTATTACTGAAGGTCTTGTGTTTTCTGACTGAAGGTTGTCCTACTAAGCATATTTGGGGAATAGTTAATTCAAGTAAAGAAAATATGAATTGCTACTACAGAATGAAGCTTGAACTCTTAGAGGAGCTGTGAGAGTTCTGTGGTCCTGTATTAATATTAAGAGTTGTGTGGGACTGCAATGAGTAGAGGCTAACTGTCAACAAATTGCAGACAAGCTGTATTTCAGTGACACTAAAGGGATACAGTTCCAACATAACAACATTTTCTTTACATACTGAATGTCTGAGGCTGAATTTGTGATATAGCACTGAGAGAGATTTAATATAAGGGAGCTTCTTTATTTCAGATGGTCATTGTTTAGAAATAACTTTCAACTTTTGACATTTGGAAATTCTATCATTAAAATGCCTGCCATATCTGCTATTCTATTTAATACAGAAATTAAAAAGAAATAGTTGTATATAACATTCAGGTTATGATCAGCATTATAACATTTCAACATTCACAAAAGTTTAGTCTTAAGAATTTTAGAGTGCTATTTAAATTTTTCTTCGTAGTTTTAGTTCCAAAACTTGATTTTAAACATTTGTAAATATTATTAAGAATGCATTGTCCAACATCTTTCCAACACCTTTGATAAATAGTTTATAATTAAATGAAAAATTCAGCTCAGCCACAATCATCTACTGTTTGCCATCATTAATCTTTGGGATAATTTAAAAAAAACTGTACTTTTAAATCACAATGAAACCACAGGTTGTCCTCAATTTAGGCTCACAATTGGAACCTGAACTTTGTGGCTAAGTGATACAGTCATTAAGTGAGTTGTCACATGACCAGACCCAATTTTGTAACTATTTTTACCATAGTCATTAAGCAAATCACATGGTTGTTAAGTGAATTTGGCTTCCCAAAGTCCCAAATTGACTTTGCTCACATGACTGCAAGACCATGCATCCATTGTAAATGAAAGCTGGTTGCCAAGTTCCCAAATTCTGATCATGTGACCGCAGTGATATGAGCAACATGTTCAAGGACAGGTCATAAGTCACTTTTTTTAGGTCATAACTTTGAACTGTAATTAAACAAATGGTTGTAAATTGAGGATTACCCATAAAATTATTTATCAAGCTTGGATTATTTCTATTGAAATACTACTATCCTGATATGAAGACAATATTCAAATTATGATCAAACATAGTTAGGATAATTAAACGTTTATAAGAAAGTACTGCTGGAATATAATTCTATATCAAATTATTTTTAAAGTAAAATTTATTGAAAAAACACAACTTTGTTTCTTCACCACCACCACCCCCGAATTTTACATTATAGTTCAGAAAAAAGATCAAACATAGGAATAATTCCTCTTTTTAAGTATAAAGGATAGTTAAAAATTTCTCAGATTTGGAGGAATCAATGCTGGAAGAAAAAAATTTGCTATGTTAGTTTTATATCCTACCTTTTGTTCAGGAGCTTAATAATAATAGGGTAATAATAGCGTCCGTCAACCCATATTTCCTACAATATAACTGTGCAATAGGTATTGCCTAAAGAATATGTCTGACCCCAAATCACGCAATTAGTTTTCTTAACTAAGGATAAATCTAAAATGGTTTCTCTGTTTTCCCTGGTACTTGTCTAGTACCCTACCCATTAGACCACAATGGTATATTTTAAGAGATGCTTGTTGATTTAACAATTAATTAAACATAGATTGTGGCATTGATGAAAACATGAACTGGACTAAACAAAAATATAATTAGAAGATTTATCAAGAAAATTTGATAACATATATTTAGCTGGTAAAAAAATTAAAACCAAAGAGCATACATTTGGTAGATTTATTTTATATTAAGTTGAATGCTAACTTTACATAGCCTTATATATTTTAATACAAAAGATGGTTAAAACTGTTCACTTACTGTTTAGATGGAAATGATTAAGAAAGCATGATGTAGAGGTTTCACATGCTCAGGTTGTCTTTGAAGATTTATGAGATCAGAAGGCTGCCGTGTTCCTCTTCTCAGGAGCACCTGTACTCCTGAGTGCTTCTGAATGAGAAGAGAAGTTAGGTCATCTCCCTCTGTATTGACTGCAGCATCTGGATAAAAAAAAGAGCCTGGAACTTTTCATCTGTCCCCTGTCAATGATAGTTTTAAATTAGTCATATATTATAACCTACGTTGCTGGGTGATGTGACATTTAATTATATCTTTAAGCAGTTTGGAATATTTTAATTGCCCCAAATTTTTTAGGAGGATGCAATATGGTGTCAAAATCCAAAGAATTGTTTTTAAAAATAACCAATCCACTTACCTGATAAGAGGATTATTTGTCAGATTCGACTGAGCAGTTCTGAGTTTGTAGAACCTTTTTAATAATGCAATTAAGAAAAATAATAAAATATATTGATAGGCCTACATAGTGCAGATGCTTCTGTGTTTTACTTGGCCAATATGGGTAGTTTTAAATGTAACTAATTAATTTGATCTGGAACATGAAAAGAGCGCCTGAGGAAGAATTAATGAATTAATTGCTTCTAATATATAATTGTAAATTGTTTTCTAGGTCATAATTATTTTGATAATCCCCAACAGAACATTTTTGAGAATGATCTGTACCTAGACCTACTTTTATTTTGATTTTATTAGACATTAGAAAGAAGTAGCATCTGACACAATTTTCAGACTCTGTATTGCCCTGTGTAGAGAAAAGTCAGAGAATATTAATTGTCCTTCCAATCCCGGTTGATGCTAATGGGTTTTAAATTGTTTAACTGTAAGCAAAGTACTATTGATTACAGTGGTTACTTTATCTTGCTGCATCCATTTTAATTTTAGGCTCTAGTGCTCACATTATGAATAACATACATACCAAAACTCTAAGCAAACTGGTTGGTTGCCGGCTTCATAATATTTAAAAGAAATCATCTCTCCAGATTTGTGCATGGGAGAATTTTAAACATACCTTTAATAAGACATGAAAGAATGCCTGTTTATTTCTAGCCTATATATGTTTTGTTTAAAAAAAATAATACCAAATGTCTTGTAATATTATATCCTATTTCAAGATTTGCTTTTATTGATATAAAGATGTTGTTCTGGAAGCAGTGTTATATAAAATAATGTATGTGAGATTTGATTATCAAATTTCCTTCCTTCCTGCTTTATTTTGATTGGAGAAAGAAAGGAGAGAGTGAAAGGAAGTACTTCATTTATTCAAATAGGTAAGGTCTGTAGCTTATCCATGCTGTGCTATTACACTGTTGTAAAGCTGATTGAATCCCACTTGATTCTTGCAAAATGGTTCCTGGGCTACATTCATATAGTACTCTGAACTAACAATCTTGTTTAATGATTAATGAATCAGTCACATGACTCTTTATCATAAATAACAAGGGCCACTTTTCAAAACACCAAAATGAATGTCATGCTTAGAAAAGTTGAGGAAATAGTGATAGCATATATGTTTGTTAAGCAACCTGTTAGCTAAGTATGTTGTATCAACACAACCATAAGATTGATTCTATATTTCTCAGACTAGCCAACTAGCCCCAAATGTGTTTCCAAGTTTGCGTTCAATAGGAAACTATAGTAACCTAGATTCTGTGAAAAATTAATCAGTTCTGACTAAAATTACAAATACTCTTCTGACAACTTAAGCTGTAATGGTTCACATTTTAGGAATGCTTAAATATTTTTAATAGTTGCTTTTTATGAAATGGGTAGCTATATAAATGTGATTAATAAAATAAATAAATATTGCACCAACTTCTGTTCACTAATTCAGTGCAATTTATACTGCAAAGAATTTGTGGACGAAACACAGCTGATTTGTTTTTAGTGTAAGTTTACATGAGTGTTTTAAAAAATATTTCCCTAAATAGCAGTTCTTATTTCACAAATGTTAAGAATATATTCCTTTTAATTAATAAATTAAAGTAAAGTTAATTTTATAAAAATTATAATGAGATTGTCCATTGTTCTTTATGAGCTGGAAGACAATAGTAGTAAAATACAAAAATGTCATGTGTATAATTTATTTCAATGACTATGCTGTTGTTCATTCACATTTGCCTTTCATTATTCTGAATTATTCTTATTTTCTATAATTCCACAAGTGAATCTTGATTTATTTTACTAAAAGCAGGCCAAGCTTTGAATAGTGCTCATCTAGGAATGACATATGAGTCATACCAAGCAGCATTCTTAATTATGTATTAAAAAAATCACTGTAGATTCTAGAACCAAGCTTTAAAGTTTATATTTGGTTAATATACGTATATGGATTTATGTAACCATCAGTTTGTTGTAAAGAAATGTAATACCATGTATATGAAGTTTTCTGTGTTGATATTGTCAATTAATTGACATTAAAGTACTTAAAACAGTTTTACTCTTGTAGTCATATTTGTTTCAGGTTTTTTTTACTGTAGTAATTGGCAGACATTGAGAAGAAAAGGAATGAGAATGAGAAAGATTTACAAGGAGTATGCTGTAGATTTTGGCTGTTGCCACAATCCAGAGCTACATAAAATGAACTCACAATGCTCAGGAATTTTTTTCCCAGCTTCCTTTTCCAGTGGCAAAACCTTTACATAATTGTAATCCATGTCATTGCAAGGAAATTTCTATCCAAAGTATTTATCAGTCTCTGCCTTTTCATAGAAGTACTGTCCACATGTGCACGGAGTAGTACATTTCAGGCCAGAGAGGATGTTCTGTGGTGAAACTGGTTTTCAGTTTGAGAAATTGGGAAAATGTAAGGCCTGGGACAATAAACAGGTAGTGGCAATCAAAATGGCAAATCATCAGATTCCAAGATCATTAGCCAAAGTTCAAAAAAGCAAGAAGTAGGCAAGGTTATCTAGTACAGGCAAACAGGTGATGTATTCTGAAACAAAAAAAGGAAGATGAGCAGGATATGACATAGCAAAAGAAATCCATGGAGAGCCAATTTAACAAGTTGTTTATATTAGAGAACTAAGCCTGATGTTTCAATTATAGAGGACATTATAACTGGTATTCCAAGTTGGCTCTCAAGCAGGACTAATAAGAATCAGTTTAATTTCTTGATATTATGTGTCCTGAAATTCAAAGCAAGATTGTGATCCAAAAGTGCCCTTTGTAAGATTTCTGTAACCAAGTAGAAAATCCAATTTATAATATTTTTGGACTCATTTAAACTGTACTAAAATACTTAATCTGCCTCTGCCTCTACTGTATAATATTATACATTTTAAGCATGAGAAAATAATCTATATTATGTAATATCTTGTATTATATTAATACCTAAGTTTTGGATCTTTCTGTTAGATGGATTTTACTGTTGTTCCTTTTTTGATATTTCATACAAATCTGATTGTGTGAATAACTGTTAAAGAATCAGTATGGCATAATTTTTTTTCATAGGTTACTCAGGTTACATGTTTTATTCTTCCTATTCACATTGGGCTGTGTGGGCAGTGGCTCGTCTTTAGTTCATCTTCGTAAGTGAATAGATTATATATTTAGCTGTTCATCTGTTCTTCACATAATGACAAAAAAACCCATGTAATTTCAGTAATTTCACAATAATTTAGGTGGCCTTGGAATCAGTTCTTTCTTTCCCACAATGTGTTCCTAAATTATATATATTGAACTACAGCTGCCATATTTCCCATTCAGAAGAAACAGTGCATCTATGTCTGCAAGGTGCCATACATGAAGAAGGTTGCAACATTTAAAAGCAATAAATGATACAAAAATCAGGAACTCAGAGTTTAATTATTAGAAAAGGCAATGATATAGATACATCCACTTACAATTTAATTGTAAGTAAGGGCAATGATATAAATATCTCTTAATTTATATGCTGTAAACTTCTACATAGTACAGCTTAATTTGAGCCCATCAAAATAATGAGGTATCATAATTACTAGAACCTTAAATATTCCCCAATTTTTCTTTTCCCATTCTATCCAGATTTTAAAAACTACAAATGATGTTTATTATACCAATACTTTAATTTGGATTACAATTGAATTGATCCTGTTTTACTGAACTCACAGGATGAATAATAGTTTTGTGAGGTTGGAGGTCATGGCAAAGTGGTTTAAACAAAACCAAATTTAGTATTTATCACATATTTTTCTTATAATACTATACAATGTTTTTGCATTATTGCTACCTCAGGCCAAAGAATCATTAATTGTCTTTCATTAGATTTAATAGACTATAAAGTTGATTTTGATGTTTTTTGCTCAGTATCTGCAATTTGTATTGTATTTGTATTGTAGATTCCATCAAAATGAAATGGATTTTTTGTGGCAAACTTTAGTCCAGCATAGAAACTTTCTAGTTAGTTGCCCACTTAGAAAAGTCCATGCAGAAGCTGTAAATCTTTAAATATGCAATTCAGCTATTCAGATTGTATCTATGTAGACACTGGAAGTCAAGGGGGGGAGGAGAAGAAAGGGAAGGAGGGGAGACAAGGGAAGAAGGAAGGAAAGGAAAGGAAAGGAAAGGAAAGGAAAGGAAGTGGGGAAGGGAAGGGGAGGGAGGGAGGGAGGAAGGAAGGAAGTCCATTCATCTTGTTTCTGATCTTTTTCCTTCCATATTTTACAGAATTAGAGCTTTCTCAAGAGAGTTACGTTTTTGCATATTGTGTCTGAAATAAGATAACTTGAGTCTAGTCATTTATGCCTTGAATGAGAACTCTGGTTGATTTGTTTGATCATTTTTAATTTATTTTCTTGACTGTTCCCTGGTATTCGCAGAAATCCTCTTCAAGATTAAGTGTCCATTATAATAAAGTTAATAAGGACTAAATTGCCAAACAATAGATGAAGAGGATTGAAAAGGAAGACTGAGAAAGCCTTGTTGAATGGAATTGACAAGATTCTCAGAAAACAAAAAGCAAAGAAATGTAGATGGATGTGGTGGATTCAAGGACAGTTTGCAAGGATAGAAAAATATGGAAAGGTTGTAGAGCAGAGGTGTCAAACTGAAGGCCCGGGGGCCGGATCTGGCCCGTGGGGCCACCCTGGAAACAGCAAAGGATTGGCCCGCGGTGCTTCTGCCAGTGAAAATGGGCTCCCAAGCTCCGTTTTCACTGGCAGAGGGTTGCAGGAGGCCGTGGCAGCCAAAAAAAGGAACTCAGGAGCCCATTTTCACTGGCAGAGCGCTCAAGCCACCACAGACACCTCCAACAGGAGAGATGTCGAGCTGGCCACACCCATCCTGGCCACACCCACCCCGGCCCCACAAACAGAACCCTGATGTGGCCCTCAATGAGTTTTACACCCCTGTTATAGAGGATAGCATTTGTGTAACCTGGTTCTACTTTTGTTTCCATTTTTTTTCTTTAATTTCTGGGCTATGTCCTATTTTTTGTCTACATTCTGCTAAATGTTTTTTAAGCCAATAGGCTTTTGTGTGTGTATTGTGTGCGTTGTGTATTGTATTTCAGAAATATTTGGAGAGCGGGATTTGTACCTTACAGCCATGAGAGATGGAATGCACTCAAGCAACAACATTCAATAACCACCTTAGGCATTTCATTTTCCATGCTATAAATGAGCACATGACATGTATCTGTGCTGGGTATATATATTGCTGTTATATGTAGATACGGATGAGCTTATATCCACATTTATTTCCTCCTATGGTAATCAGAGAAATTAGAAAACTTCTTGGTTTCACTCACAAGGTTAGTTACAGAGTTGTATTGAACAAAGCTCCTTGAACAGGATGGTTTTATTCACTGAACATAAAAGGGAACACCCCATTCTTGCAGTCCTCAATCTCCATATAACTTACTCAGGAACATAGAAGAGAACTTTTACCAAAAATAATTATTCTTATACTTTTTAGTTTACATACATTCTACAAATGAAAGATTTCTTACATTTGGTAACAATTCTGAATATAATCCACAGGTATTCATATTACCTAACCCAGAAACTACAATAATGACTATTTTACAAGACTCTTCCTAGCATAGTAGATCATGTTTGCAAAATTGTTGGTAGCATTGAAAAATATTACATCGAATTGTCAGAAACAGTAAACATTATATAACTGAAAAGACTTGAGTCTTGCTGAGTTGCTCTTAAATGCTTTTAAAACCATCCTCATCTTTGAATAAACTATTGTGTTCCATTTGATTGACTACTCAAAATGCTATTTAGCATGAAGTACATACTTTTGGAATGCTTAGCAATACTTCTTGTCAAAAGCAGGTGTGAGACTGAAAAGAATAAAAGGACCACATACTGAACCTTAAAGACTGAAATAAATCCCTTTGAGCTGCTTCTAATTTATCTTTTCAGCCATGTTATCGAATGAAATTTTATTTCTCATTTCAATAATATGTGATATATTTAAATTATGGTATATTTATCTTGAACTTTAATTATGAATATTTCAAAATGGTAGAATTTGTTGCCTGACTGACATATTATCTCAACAATCCCCATTAGAACATTTGTACTTTATTACTTTATAAGTAATTCAAGGCAGACAACATACAGTACATAATATTCCTTCTTCCTCCTATTTTCTCCACATCAACCCTATGAGGTGGGTTAGGCTGAGAGAGAATGATTGGCCTAAAGTCACCAAGCCAACTTGGATGCCTAAGCAGGACTAGAACTGGTCTCCTGGTTACTAGCCTGGAGCCAAACATACTGTTTTAAATATACAGTATAACTGTTCCCTTTTTAAGGATTTTAGAGTTCTCTGAATCTTGACATTGACAAATGCATCAGTGTGACTGTAAACTGAGGCATCTCATAGCCAAATAACTCCTTTTTCTATTTTGTGATTAGTTCCATGCATTCATGTTGCATGGGCTTAGATGAAGGGAGATAAGTTTCAACCACACACAATAGTACAGATTGTTTTGTTTGAAGTATTGTTATATCAATCCATAATCTACATACTACTCTTATACATTATTTCCTTAGGAACGGAACTACTGTATTCTTCATTTAGTTTAATAGTTATATGTGACCAATATACAGGTAGTCCTCAACTTATGACCACAATTGGAACTGGAATTTTAGTTGCTAAGCAATGCAATTGTTAAGTCAGTCACACCCAATTTTACAACCTTTTTGCCATGGTTGTTAAGTGAATCGCACAGTCATTAAGCAAATACAGCTTCCGCTATTGATTTTACTTGGATGCTGCAACCATCCTAAATACATATCAGTTGCCAAGCATCCAAATTTTGATCACATGACTGTGGGAATGCTGTGACAGTCATAAGTCTGAGAAGCAGTTCCACATCATTTTTTAAATTACCGTTGTAACTTTGAATGATCATTAAATGAATGATTGTAAGTTAAGGTCTACTTGTAGTACCTATTACATTGCTTCAATGAATACTGCTACAAATTCCAAGTATACAATTTATATATATCTATATCAGAGGAAGTATGTATCTTTTAACATATTCAATTGTAGCATGACTTCTTAAAGAATTTTCACAGCATCCATATATTTTTTAATTTGGATCCAGAATATTAATTGCATTTAATTTCCTTGTAATGAAAGTTAGCTATGATAAACTTAATCACACTGATTTTCATTAGGAATTAACTCAATATGCCTAAAATGTTTTAATACAATAAAGAAAAATCAAATATGCATATTATTACATCACTTCACATTTTTGTTCTCCATTTTTCTAGGGATTTCTTGGTGATCTATCAGTAAAATACGTGTACATATTCAGATGACTCTGGGACATTTTTTGCATCAATGATGAAAGGATTATCTGGCAGTCGCAGTCACCATCATGGGGTTGCCTGTGAACCTGTATGTGACTCTCTGATACATCATTCAGATAGGAAGCCATATTTATTAAATCCTATGGACCATCATCCAGCAGATCATACTTACTATACTCAAAGAAACTCTTTTCAAGGAGAATGCATGGCTCCATACAGTGATCAGATTGCTAGCAGCACATTTCCTCGGAGACATTATAATTCCCACAAAGAACTTAAGGATGAATGTGCTTTGGTGCCACATGGAACAACCAGTAAAGGTAATCGTATCCCTGCCAATCTTTTGGACCAGTTTGAAAGGCAGCTTCCTCTTAATAGAGATGGCTACCATACTTTACAGTACAAAAGGAGTGCTGTAGAACATCGTAGTGATAGCCCCGGAAGGATCCGCCACTTGGTGCATTCTGTTCAAAAGCTTTTCACAAAATCTCATTCTCTTGAAGGCCCATCAAAGGGCAGCATCAATGGAGGCAAAGCAAGCCCAGAAGACATGCATAGTATACGATATGGCAAACGTAGCAAAAGTAAAGATAGAAGATCGGACGGAAAATCCAGGTCAAATGCGTCTGGATGGTGGAGCTCAGATGACAACCTAGATAATGATGTTTGCATTTATCATGGACCAAGTGGGATAATGACCATGGGAAGATGTCCTGATCGTTCTACTTCTCAGTACTTTATGGAAGCCTATAATAGTCTAAGCGAACATGCAGTAAAGCCTTCCAGAAGCAATAATGATGTTAAATGTTCTACCTGTGCAAACCTGCCTGTAAATTTGGATGCTCAATTAATGAAAAAAAGCTCTTGGTCCTCTACTCTGACAGTAAGCAGAGCTCGTGAAGTTTATCAAAAAGCTTCTATGAACATGGACCAGGCAGTACTGAAAGCAGAGACTTGTCAACAGGAACGGTCCTGCCAATATCTTCAGGTATAGTATATGTCATTTATTTGATTGCTTGAACTGCTCTTGGTCCCATGTATATTTTTCACACTGAGATGAGATTGCAAATGAAAAGATGTAAGTGGGAGTTAATCTAAATACAAATTATGAATAAATCTGCATTTTGGTTGCTAAGAAGCAGTGTTTCAAATGAATTCATACAGTGAGGAACTGGTTCACTTTCTTAATATCTGAAAAGAACAAGAACTCCTTGAATAATTGTGGGGGATTCAAAAGGCACTTTAGGCACACAAAACAGCACAGCAGGGTCACAAGGAGCTAGAGGTAGTAAAGCTTTCATTTTGCATTACAATCTCAATGGACTGATATTCCCAGGAAAAGAGATTTGTTAGCTTCTGTAATCTTGAGATCTGCCTTCATGTTATTTTGGTGATGAAAACGTGAGACCCTTTAAACACTTAGTAATGCCACAGCATTTTGTATACTATGAACCAACCTACAATCAGCTTTTGTCACATACAAAACATCTGAACAGCCTTTAGGAAATAATTATATGAAGTGACCAGGTTGGTGTTTCTGGCTGTTATTCCTTTAAAATAAATAGCTACCGCTCTCTGAAAAAATGCAAAGTTGAAAGACTGAAATTATTGAATGTTCTGATTATACTCTTTGCGAGTACATCAGTGACTCCCGCACAAGCTGTTTGCAGTTAATAAAGCGTCACTATTTTTCACCAGTATTGTATCTTTAAATGTCAAGAATCAGATGTCTGCTCTTGGAGCTATCATACTGCCGGTTAATTTTTGTGGCAAGAACGTGGATCAGAAAATTAACACAGTTTCAGCTGTAAAAGATCTGTGGATTATTTTTTATGCATTTTCGTTTAAAATGGATATGGCACACTTAACTGTGCATGGACAGTGGAGTAATGTCAAACAAAGAAGAGAGAAGACTATGAGGAAAAAAGAGGTTTGATCCATAAAATATTTTGTTGTTGTTGGGTGGGGGAATTGTGGGGAGTAAGTCATTGCTCTGTTCTTTTTATCTGCTGTTTAGTTTTACTTCAAAACGTTGTGTGCTCCATAGTTAGTTCTAGCTGTTTTTAGCCTGATGGGCAGCTTGCAATCATAATTTTGCATTTGCATCTCCATGTTCAGGTAAAGGATTGGATGCTATTGTCCTGCTGACTTATAGTTTTATAATTCAGATGACCTAGAAATGAACCAGAGTACCAAGTTTTAAGGGATTATTTTTGAATACAAAAAGCATTGTACTTTAAGGCGCATTCAAAACTATAAAACATCCTGATGCAAGTCCTGTATGAATGTTTATTTCTGCATATTCTTATGTTCTTGGGGGACTGTTAGCATCATAAAGTGAGGAATTAAGAGGATTCAGTTGATCGTATCAAAATAATGATAATGTTATGTTGTGTGTCAGGCCAGAAAAAAGATTAGCTTTACCTTCAGAGACTTGTCAGTTACATAGCTCATGACCTAATGTATTATTGTATATAAGTGTGTGTGTGTGTGTGTGTGTGTGTGTGTGTGTGTGTGTGTGACTATGCATGGATGGATGGAGACAGACAGACAGACAGACAGACAGACAGAGATATTCTTTTCTTTTTGCATAGGCTCTTTTGCAAGGTCAGATAATATAAATCATAGGATTGTCTCACTGAAATAAAATTAATATGCAAGTTTGCATACCTAGGAATGAGTTCCACTTAATTTAATAGAGCTTATATCTGAGGGCATATGTATATGCTTGTCCTGTTGGAAGGCATTTCCTACTCTTCCTCATTTAATATATAAAATTCATCCTAAATGTATACTGAATGTGTATTTAATTGTTCTTACTTTTTGCTATGCAACCTAAGATTTTAGGTTGACATTTATTTAGAAAGAAGTAAAAAAATTCATTGTTTCGAGATGGTTAATAAAATATGATGGATACAAGGAAGATACAAGGAACAAGATGACTACTTTAGATATTGTTTAACTCTATTAATCAAGTAAAATTAAAAGTTAAAACAGTAATATAGGAGCATAAGATTTTTGAAGGCTCTTTAACAAACAACTCTATAATTATAAACCATACATATTTGCAAAATCACATCTCTGTTATCCCTCGAAGAAGCCATGTTCACTAATGTTTATATACAACAAAACAAATGTGTTAAACAAAGAGATCTGTCAGTTTTTTAATTAATTTCCCTGAAGAGGAAAACTTCCAAATAGGTAATTTTCAAGTAAGGGAAATTCTCAGGTTTTATTAATAACACTGATCAAAGATTGTTATCTTATTCTGATTATAAATATAACGATTTTTTAGGTAAATCCAATTCCTTTACATTATTTTTGCAGTTTCGAATATGAAGAATCTATACACTAAAATACATACATTTCCATAACTGGGGTTGCTGTAGTAGCAAATAAATATTCAGAGAGAATGAAGAAAAGTATATCAAAAGACAAAAAGAGCATGATTTTTTCTGCATTTCTATATTTTCTGCATTTGCTGCTGTATTTAAGCTTCTCAAATTTACAGGAGACTAATCTAGCTGTAATCAATGAATGTGAATATTAGAATTAACTATGATCATCAGCCAGATAATTTTTCATTCTTATTAATCTACTGTGGCTCTGGAAGCATGAAATGTAGATCCCAACTGACACTCAGGCCTCTCAGCAGTTTTATTGACTAGCATGTCTAATAGTCATATAATTACCTGTCTGTATCAGATGGAGATAACTTCTAAACATTCTAGAAGTTTGTTTGAAGATTTTTTTAAAACTGAACATTGATCTTGATAATTCAATCTTCATTCTGTTTACATCAGTGGTGAAATCTGAACAGGTTTGCCATTGGTTCGCTGGCCACGCATGTGCGGTGTGCACCAAGTGTGTGCTGTGTGTGCATGTGCAGTGTGCACCAAATGTATGCTGCACACACGCATGTGCAATTCGTGCCAATCACGCGCTTCACACAGAAAAAGGAGGCTTGGGAAGGTAAGTAGAACAGCGAGGGGGGTAACAGCTGTGCTGCGCAATTTAGATTCACTAGAAAGTAGGATTTCCTGCCTTCTAGCGATTTCTAGCGTGGCACAGCTGATAATTTGAAATACCTTTTTTTTACTACCGGTTCTCCTGAACTGATAGTTTTTATCACTACCAGTTTGCCTGAACCAGTGCGAACCGGTAGCATTTCACCACTGTTTTACATCTATATATTTTAATTGGTTGAAATTACTGAGAGAATCGGTAATTGACATGATATTATATCGATGATGTCCATTCAGCTCTACTCTCATATAATCCAGGCAGGGCAATGCAATCATACTTTTGAGTAATGAAGTAGAGGGGGATTGCATCTAACCACAGTGGAAATGCTATTAATAGGGGTTTTATCATTTTACAGAAGTGATCTTTTGTTTCTTAATGTCATCATAAGTTCACTTTAGATCAGATTAGCATAATTTTAGATTCAGCTCTGACTTTGAATGGTACTATAAAGCCAGTGTAGTCTTGATCATAAGAAAAGCCCTGCTGTACTTTAATTAGTTTAGGATGATTTAACTTTCTCTGTTCCATCTAGAATTAGTTTTTTAAAAATCCAAATTCACATTTATGGAATGGGGGACTCAGTGGTTGGTTTCAGCTGAATTGGGCAGCTCAATGTTGAGAAGGTGATGAAGTGGGAACTGCACTGGGTTTTTATTACTCATTATGCTCATCATAAATTCTGAGTATTTTCCTTTGTGTAAATATGGCAATTTGATTCTCCTAAACCGTCCTCATTCACTATCATTGAACAAAAGTAGTTAGTTGGAGCTGTGCTAGTGGCAATAATGATATGCATACTGCAAATAGAGAATTATATTATTTTAAATCCAAAACGTAACATTCTAGCTCCCCAAAATCTTGATATGAAAGTCATTAAATAGTTTCCATATCTAATTAAACTGGGGAAACAAGAATATAATCTAATTATATTAACCTAATGTACTACTATCTTCCAAGTTCAGAGTAGATCACATGGGAAATGGAAACAAAATGTGACATTGCTGTTAATGACATGAATCATATCTTTTTCTGTACTAATTGCTTTAGTTGTATGATTCAACAGCTTAAATAACTATTTGGAAGAGAATAGAACAATACAGGATTGAACAGAATAGAGGTAGTCCTTGCTTAATAACCACAGTTGGGACTGGCAATTCTGTCACTGAGCAATGCAGTCATTAAGCAAAGCATCATGTGACCACAACAAACTTACAACTTCACTCCTGCTGAGGTTGTTACGCCAGTCACCACAGGATGTTAAATGAGATATTATGTGACTGTGACATTAATTTTTCTGTGTCTTCCCCACTGACTCTGCTTGTTGGAACCTATGAAGCATACAAAAGTTAATCCTGTCTCTGCAATGGTCATAAACATCTCCCTCTGCAATGGTCATAAACATCACCTTCTCAACATTGAGCTGCCCAATTCATCTGAAACCAACCACTGAGTCCCCCTGTGAAGTTACTCAAATCTTGATCTTGGACCTGCAGAGACTCTGTAACAACCAGTTGTAAAGTTACTTTTACAGTGGCACTATAACTATGATTGCTAAACACGGCAGTCATTAAACTGGATTATGGATAGGATAGGATAGGATAGGATAGGATAGGATAGGATAGGATAGGATAGGATAGAATAGAATAGAATAGAATAGAATAGAATAGAATAGAATAGAATATCCTCATCTCTTTTGATAATAAAAACTAGAGTCAAGGTGAACTCCAACTCAAAATTAGCAGAGGCGGGTGACATTTTATCAACAAAATGTACTATTTATAGCAATAATAGCTTGAAATTACTAATAGCTCCTGAAATCTTATTTATAACTTGCTGTTTACTAATTAAAAGACAATATAGATGATCAAGTTATTTTACTTTATGTTTTATTTACTCAATTGAGCAGCAATGAGGTTTTAGACACTTACCTGTTTAAAAACAAATGATGTAAGAATGGAAACA